TACGAATGGGATCTCTCTCTCTCCACCGTCGTCTCTTCCTCCTCCACTTCCGCCTGCGACGTTATCGGAGCTATTGAATTCGACCCGACTGATACCGTCGTCGCCACCGCCGGGATTTCAAGAAAGATCCGATTTTACGGTCTCCCCTCTCTGTTACGTACAAACTCCGGCGCCGGAGGAGAAATCACCTTCGTCGATCAAACCACCACATGCGAGTATTACATCTGTACGCCGGCGAAGCTCAGTAGTCTCCGGTGGAGACCCGGGTCGGGCGGTCGGGTCATCGGTTCGGGTGATTACGACGGCGTCGTGACGGAGTACGATCTCGAGAAAAGGACGCCGGTTTTCGAGCGGGACGAGCACGGAGGCCGGCGAGTGTGGAGCGTGGATTACACGCGTCACGGTGTTGGCGCGTCGGGATCGGACGACGGGACGGTGCAAGTGTGGGATCCGAGATGTCCGCCGGAGGAATCTGTCGGTATTGTACGACCGGCGGGGATTTGTCGGAGCGCCGTTTGCTGCGTAGAATTCGATCCTTCCGGCGGACCCGCGGTGGCCGTCGGATGCGCCGATCGGAGAGGATACGTGTACGATATGCGGAAACTCGTTGACCCGACGTTGACTTTACAGGGTCACACTAAAACGGTGTCGTACGTGAGGTTCCTGGACGGTGGCACGGTGGTGACGGCCGGTACGGACGGTTGTCTTAAGATGTGGAGCGTGGAGGACGGGCGCGTGATTCGCACGTACGAGGGACACGTGAATAATCGGAACTTCGTGGGGTTATCCGTGTGGAGAAACGGCGCGCTGTTTGGCTGCGGATCGGAGAACAACAGGGTGTTCGTGTACGATAAGAGGTGGGGGAAACCGGTTTGGGTAGATGGATTTGAACCGGGTGGTATGAACTCGGGTTCGGATAAGCGGTTCGTGAGTACTGTTTGTTGGAGGCAATCAGGTGTGGACCAGTGCACGCTCGTTGCTGGTGGATCTGATGGAGTATTGCAGGTTTACGTGGGCAAAAGAAAGCCATAGTTATTCACATTCATTTATCATTACTATCTTTTTTTATGAATT